AGAGTCGTAGAGGGAGAGACTGGTTCTATAGCAAATATTAGAGGCTGTCTCTAGTAGAGTCGTAGAGGGAGAGACTGGTTCTATAGCAAATATTAGAGGCTGTCTCTAGTAGAGTCGTAGAGGGAGAGACTGGTTCTATAGCAAATATTAGAGGCTGTCTCTAGTAGAGTCGTAGAGGGAGAGACTGGTTCTATAGCAAATATTAGAGGCTGTCTCTAGTAGAGTCGTAGAGGGAGAGACTGGTTCTATAGCAAATATTAGAGGCTGTCTCTAGTAGAGTCGTAGAGGGAGAGACTGGTTCTATAGCAAATATTAGAGGCTGTCTCTAGTAGAGTCGTAGAGGGAGAGACTGGTTCTATAGCAAATATTAGAGGCTGTCTCTAGTAGAGTCGTAGAGGGAGAGACTGGTTCTATAGCAAATATTAGAGGCTGTCTCTAGTAGAGTCGTAGAGGGAGAGACTGGTTCTATAGCAAATATTAGAGGCTGTCTCTAGTAGAGTCGTAGAGGGAGAGACTGGTTCTATAGCAAATATTAGAGGCTGTCTCTAGTAGAGTAGTAGAGGGAGAGACTGGTTCTATAGCAAATATTAGAGGCTGTCTCTAGTAGAGTCGTAGAGGGAGAGACTGGTTCTATAGCAAATATTAGAGGCTGTCTCTCGTGGAGTCGTAGAGGGAGAGACTGGTTCTATAGCAAATATTAGAGGCTGTCTCTAGTAGAGTCGTAGAGGGAGAGACTGGTTCCATAGCAAATATTAGAGGCTGTCTCTAGTAGAGTCGTAGAGGGAGAGACTGGTTCTATAGCAAATATTAGAGGCTGTCTCTCGTGGAGTCGTAGAGGGAGAGACTTGTTCTATAGCAAATATTAGAGGCTGTCTCTAGTAGAGTCGTAGAGGGAGAGACTGGTTCTATAGCAAATATTAGAGGCTGTCTCTCGTAGAGTCGTAGAGGGAGAGACTGGTTCTATAGCAAATATTAGAGGCTGTCTCTAGTAGAGTCGTAGAGAGAGAGACTGGTTCTATAGCAAATATTAGAGGCTGTCTCTAGTAGATTCGTAGAGGGAGAGACTGGTTCTATAGCAAATATTAGAGGCTATCTCTAGTAGATTCGTAGAGGGAGAGACTGGTTCTATAGCAAATATTAGAGGCTGTCTCTCGTAGAGTCGTAGAGGGAGAGACTGGTTCTATAGCAAATATTAGAGGCTGTCTCTAGTAGAGTCGTAGAGGGAGAGACTGGTTCTATAACAAATATTAGAGGCTGTCTCTAGTAGAGTCGTAGAGGGAGAGACTGGTTCTATAGCAAATATTAGAGGCTGTCTCTAGTAGAGTCGTAGAGGGAGAGACTGGTTCTATAGCAAATATTAGAGGCTGTCTCTAATAGAGTCGTAGAGGGAGAGACTGGTTCTATAGCAAATATTAGAGGCTGTCTCTCGTGGAGTCGTAGAGGGAGAGACTGGTTCTATAGCAAATATTAGAGGCTGTCTCTAGTAGAGTCGTAGAGGGAGAGACTGGTTCTATAGCAAATATTAGAGGCTGTCTCTAGTAGAGTCGTAGAGGGAGAGACTGGTTCTATAGCAAATATTAGAGGCTGTCTCTCGTGGAGTCGTAGAGGGAGAGACTTGTTCTATAGCAAATATTAGAGGCTGTCTCTAGTAGAGTCGTAGAGGGAGAGACTGGTTCTATAGCAAATATTAGAGGCTGTCTCTCGTAGAGTCGTAGAGGGAGAGACTGGTTCTATAGCAAATATTAGAGGCTGTCTCTAGTAGAGTCGTAGAGAGAGAGACTGGTTCTATAGCAAATATTAGAGGCTGTCTCTAGTAGATTCGTAGAGGGAGAGACTGGTTCTATAGCAAATATTAGAGGCTATCTCTAGTAGATTCGTAGAGGGAGAGACTGGTTCTATAGCAAATATTAGAGGCTGTCTCTCGTAGAGTCGTAGAGGGAGAGACTGGTTCTATAGCAAATATTAGAGGCTGTCTCTAGTAGAGTCGTAGAGGGAGAGACTGGTTCTATAGCAAATATTAGAGGCTGTCTCAGCTCTAGTAGAGTCGTAGAGGGAGAGACTGGTTCCATAGCAAATATTAGAGGCTGTCTCTAGTAGAGTCGTAGAGGGAGAGACTGGTTCTATAGCAAATATTAGAGGCTGTCTCTAGTAGAGTCGTAGAGGAAGAGACTGGTTCTATAGCAAATATTAGAGGCTGTCTCTAATAAAGTCGTAGAGGGAGAGACTGGTTCTATAACAAATATTAGAGGCTGTCTCTAGTAGAGTCGTAGAGGGAGAGACTGGTTCTATAACAAATATTAGAGGCTGTCTCTAGTAGAGTCGTAGAGGGAGAGACTGGTTCTATAGCAAATATTAGAGGCTGTCTCTCGTGGAGTCGTAGAGGGAGAGACTGGTTCTATAGCAAATATTAGAGGCTGTCTCTAGTAGAGTCGTAGAGGGAGAGACTGGTTCTATAGCAAATATTAGAGGCTGTCTCTAGTAGAGTCGTAGAGGGAGAGACTGGTTCTATAGCAAATATTAGAGGCTGTCTCTCGTGGAGTCGTAGAGGGAGAGACTGGTTCTATAGCAAATATTAGAGGCTGTCTCTAGTAGAGTCGTAGAGGGAGAGACTGTTTCTATAGCAAATATTAGAGGCTGTCTCCGCTGATGTATAGCAAATATATAGCAAATATTAGAGGTGGTAAAACAGTTAGTTACTTATCTTTTGGGGTTGACCTTTTCCACTGCCTGCAATCCAGTACTTTATGTCACATAATATGTATGTTAAGTTTTAGTGATAAAGAGTTATCATGGTGACTAGTCACATGTTAAATATTATCAAGTCTTATAATGTTATATCTTAGTCGTGCGTGTTAAATATTATCTAGTCTTATATCTTAATCACGTGTGTCAGGTATTAATAAGTCTTATATTTGATTACCAAGACGTTTGAATTTAATACAATTTCCTTGGTAATTGGTAGGTGTTATACACTGTAAGATAAGAGCTAGTGGTACTGGACACTGGTACATTCCGTGATTACATTATACAACTTCATGATTTATATCAGGTCATATCTCTACCAAAATGAGGTGATTTCAGCTGGGTTATATTTCTTGGAAATATTTTATATTTGATCATTAGAATCTACTACATGATATATATTATATATAATATACGCACTTTGAGAGTACTGTGTTACTGAAACAATAATTCTTAGAAAACGCTCACTGTTCCCCTAACAATAAGCTCCTGCTTGAGCACAGATAGTATATAATAGTGAAAACATGGGTTACATGGGTTTTTCAGATTGCAGATGCCTGTTTCTGCTTCATTGCATACTAACAGAATATAATAGAACCAATAATAAACCAGCCACTGGGTCACACCTCCGTTGTATAATATTATAACACACATCAATAACAGCTGTGGTCTGACTGCAAATCTGATTTCTTCCAGTTCAGATACGTTTCTTATCAAATCAAATTATCCTTATCTTTTGAGACCTCATAGTAATGAGACTGCATGCCCAAAGTCCTGCCCCGCCCCCCGCCCTGGGGCCTAAAATAAACCTAACTTCTTAGAATTTAGCTCATTAATTTCTCAAACATGGAAGGAGTACTTTCAGAAATATTTGTCTGGCTACGAATCTAAAAATATTATCATATCATGTTTAAAGAATTATAGCCTGAGATTAGATTAAAGTAGCATCGTTCTGAGACCAGCGTTCGGTATTACAGTTCACAGTCGCGAAATCTTGTTAAGAATATTAAGTTAAGGTTTTATTCTGGAGGGTTCGTGTGTCACAAGGGTATATATTTGATGAATGTCATGTGACCTCGCCGAGGCCTATATATTATTGAACCGCGAGGTTAAGTTTTGTAAATCGAGCAATCATGTGCCTTGCTTCTCTCTCTCTCTCTCCAATCTGATGTCATGTGAAAAACGCTAGTTGCAAATTCAATATCTTCTTGATGGAATTTTTGATGAAATTTTAAAGTTATTTGTGCTAGCCACGTGAACTTTTGAGATGACGTGCTGTAACTTGGCCTTGTGATGGATGCTAGATAACAAACCTAGAAGTAGAGGGGGTAGTTTAAAGTTTTAAAGATAACAAGGTTTCGTTTCTAAACTCATGTTCTCTTTTCCTGTCAACATTTTTCTTCAAGTGTCACTGTTTCATACGGGCAGGAATTTAGTGTTATTTAGTTATTTCCTTGCTCCCTTTATTTAACCTACCTACCCTTCCCCAGAATAGTCACAAGAAATATAACCTACAGTTGCCCCTTCGTTATATAAGAGTAGTGAAATTGTTATTTTTTAGCGTCGTATCCTCACAGGACTCTCGCAAGTCGCAGGACTCTCTAAATTTGGTTTGATGTCGATTTGACCAAATATTCTCCTGCTACGTTATTATGTGATCACTTTTATTCATCTTAACAGCTTGTGTTCTTAAGAACCGCAATATTGAGTTGAGTTGACTGATGGGATCTGACGACAAATCGATCTTATCGAGGGTACATATCTATGTGGTTTGTTTGCTATTCAGTTGTTGTATTCTCCGCCTTTATAGAGGGACCCATCACTAGTGTGTTGGGTATTTTTGGATTTTTTAAGATGATTGCTGTTTGTAGGTTACTCTTTAAAACATTGCGAAACAAATAACGGCTTGATCGTTTATCGAGATCTTCCATTTCGACACGTAGAAACTGTTTCGCCATTCTCCCTATCAAAGAGGGCAACGTTTTTTTTCATTTTCTCATAGACTGACTCAATTAAAATAAGCGAGAAGGCTAAAAATTTACATGAAAATGGTTCTAACTTTTCACTATTTCTGCCATATTTTGCATCATTTCGGTTATTTCAATTTTTAGTTTTCAATTCAGTCTTTATTCACGTTCTCTAAATAAACCCACGCGTACATCAATACATTCGGTAACAACTTCTGAAATTCTTATAAAATAGATATTAAAACTTACTGCTCTATAATTATGTAACATTCTAACAAACCACTATACCAGCTACAGATAGGATGTGTAAGGAAGGACCGGTCGTACCGGAGAGTTCCTCAGATGACAACTCAGTAGATTACATTCCAGATGTGCATGAGAAGGAGGTCGATGATCAGCCAGAAGAGAGCAGCAAGGTAATTGGGATTTAATTAGATAATTAGTTAATTAGATAATTGAGGTATAATTTGGGGATGATTTCCAATTCTGGTGCATCAAATTTCATGAAAAATTCTAATATGGATCGAAAATTAATCCATTCATGTTAAGAGGCGCATAAATAAACAATAACATGGGTATTTTTACGGATAATGTTTGCATATTTCAGAGATTTAAACAATATTTACATAATATTTCAGAGATTTAAACAATATTTACATAATATTTTAGAGATAACAATGTTTACATTATATTTCCAAGATAACAATGTTTACATTATATTTCCAAGATAACAATGTTTACATATTTCAGGAGTTCAAATCGGAGATTGTTTGGTTCAACGTGTATAATATGAGTGTGCTCCATCTCCTCGGCCTAATCGGCTTCTATAATGTTAGTTAATACTTCCCTGTACTAATGCACTAATCACTTATTACTTCCCTAATTACTGATATCATATTAACAGATCAATACATTATGTGTGCTGAATTTTGACAGTTGCTACAAGTTACTCAACGTTAGCTAGTTGACACTAAAAACTGTTACTTGACTGTAACACATGATTGTAAGACTCCCACTATGTGGCGAGTGGAAATATTTTAGTTATTAAAACAATTCACACACATTCTTTACTAGTCTCCTTAATCCGTCCGGTACATTTTAGCGTGATAATTTCAGTTGGAAACTGTTCAGTATGATGCTTATATTCTTATATTTACCGGATCCCAGTTCATTCCGTAGATTCACAATCATTCCGTATTCAGAACAAAATGTCAATAACAGGGATAACATCAACTTTTTAACGGTAGCAGATTAGACTGTTGATCGTGAATATAATCATTTGTCTAGGATGGAAAAGTTAAGGGCTGCTAGGACCCTTTTAAGCGCTCTCTGCTGTAGTTAAATAATTATACGTTTATCGTCCCGAAAAATGGGGGTAAAAAAAATTTAATACCTGTCCTAAAAGTTATCATCATGAATATGGTAATCATTGGTAATCATTGAATTTGAGGGTAATTTCGTATAATAATTATCTCTCAATTAGCTGAGCTCAGTGCTCCATTAATTTCTTATTAATCTGCCTGGAAATAGACTAATCTTATGCACATTAATTAAACATGTTTAGTGCAGTGTTTGTACGCTACGCATTAATATCAATTAAATAAATTACAGTGGAATTTTTACAGAGTCAGGATAAATGTCGCCACGTATCTACAACATTAAATATTTTAAATTTAGTCTACTTTAGTCTACAAATATCTAAACACTTGAGCTGTGTTGTTAGTTTTTAGAAACAATCAAAGTAATGCTAGTTATTTTAGAGTTATGTTAGTAGTCTGGCTAATCGTTTTCATAGTATTCTGTACCTTTATATCACGGCTGTATAAAGACTATGTAAATCCTGAGAAGGACGCAACTTCAGTTTCTATTGTGTAGAATATTTCATCAGCTGAACTAGTAACTAGTAAGCTAGTAATTACCTTGATGGTAATTAGTTAATTAGACTGATTAACTGATTACCGTATCAATTAACTTGATGCGTTTACTTTTATTTTGATACGCTCTCATCTATCCTGATTCCTGGGTGATCATCACTACTTGCCATTCATTTCAAAATAGCGGCATTTTTCTGGTTAAGAGATTTTAGGTGAATACAGTGGGGTGGTTCATCCCTCACTGCTTTAATAATGAATCATAAAATGAATCACCTGGCAAAAATGTCCCGAACTCATGATACCCACGTGATTACCACAGTCCTAAGCTGGTATTGTCTTATTATGTATTCAGTACTAATACCACCTATTTAGTACTAACACCACCTATTTAGTACTAATACCACCTATTTAGTACTAACACCACCTCTTTCAGTCCCTATTTTACGCCTCGTGGCCGACCCTGATATTTTCCTGGTTCCTGTATCTCTTCGGAGGGTTGGGGATAACCGCTGGGGCTCACAGACTTTGGGCCCACAAATCTTACAAAGCTAGACCATTACTTAGAGGTGAGTGGTTAAATTGCGACTAACAACAGATTTGATCGTACGATTTAAAAAAACCATCGCTCTATGGCTTGTTATCCTCTGTCATTGACATTATCGTGTTTTCAAATGCTGTTAAAATACCAGGCTTTCTAATCGTTCCAAAAAACCAGGTTTTCTAATGCTGTGTCAGACTCTTGCTGGACAAGATGACCTCTACAAATGGAGCAGAGACCACAGAGTACACCACAAATGGAGTGAAACCCATGCTGATCCTTATAACGCTAATAGAGGTCAGTTTACTATTATATAACGCTAATAGAGGTCATTTTACTATTATAATTATTTGGTTTGGCGGTGTGATGATAATTAAATGTCAAGGAATAAGTTGTGGGTTCGAAACTCAGTTTTAAAATTTACCAAGAAAGTAGAAACAGTGCTGTTTAGTTTAAAAATTCCTCCCTTTCAGGTATGTTCTTCTCTCATGTTGGCTGGCTGCTAGTGAAGAAACACCCTGATGTCATGAAGTACGGAAACAAGCTGAACTTTGATGACATTCTCTCCGATCCTATCGTTCAGTTCCAGCGCAAGTAAGCAGTTTAAATAACCTTATCTTATCACTATTATCTTAGAGCTCAGGATATAACCTTATCTTATCTTATCACTGTTATCTTAGAGCTCAGGATATAACCTGTAGACTTATCTTATCACTGTTATCTTAGAGCTCAGGATAGTGTGTTTCTACAGAGTAATAGTGGGTTGTGATGGGTTAAACCAGCTTAAATATATCTCGTAATATTGTAATGACGTTGTAGGAACTTTTAGAACTAGTCCTAATTTGTTGTCTCCAATTTGCTAATTACTCAAATTAGCTAATTACACCTCTCTCTTCCAGGTACTATCAGCCCCTATTCTGGAGTGTCTGCGCTCTGATGCCCACACTAGTCCCTTATTTCGGATGGGGTGAGAACGCATTTGTTGCGTTCACCGTGGCTGGAACTGCACGATACGTCTTCACCCTGCACATGACCTGGTTGGTAAACTCGCTGGCTCACTACTACGGTATCAGACCCTACGACAGTGGTATCAACCCTGCAGAGAACAGACTGGTATCACTCGGCGCTATCGGTGAGGGGTTCCACAACTTCCACCACTCCTTCCCATTCGATTACCAGTCCAGTGAGATGGGATACAGTCTCAATATCACCACCATGTTCATTGATCTCATGTACATGTTGGGGCAAGCCTACGATCTGCGCACCGTCAGCAAGTCTGTTATTGCAGGCAAGAAGGAGAGAACGGGTGACGCCTCCGGAGTTGGCAGGTACTTCAAACCTACCTACGGGAAAGCTCAGTGACTGTACAGGGATATAGGTGGTCGGGTACGGTCACCATTCGGCCTCTAACCGGCCTCCATCTCACCACTGTATTGGTATCATGGTGGCCGCCAATTAGTGGTCACGTGGAGGAAGTACCTCATCACCACCCAATTAAACCTAAAGGACAGACAGATTTGTAAGACTGGGAGTCAGAGTTTTACTTGTCACACACACCACAGATTCACACAACCACAAGACCCTCAATGATTATGTATATGATCTGTGCTTGTTGCTTATTTAATTTTTGTTATTAAATAATATATCTGTTTTTATATTTGTTGTACTAATTCTTATTAATTTTTGAATTATGTGCGCTCTTTTATGCTGAGTGTTATAATGATCCTCAGTGATCGAATCTTGCTGAATAATTGCTTAGTTAGATAATTAATTAATTAGTTAATTAGTTAATCAGCTGATCAAATTCTCATTGTTGTGAGATGCGGCCCATTAATTAAATCTCTCTGTTCCAGAGCTTTTGCAGTATAGAAGGTATAAGTAACATAATTGTTATCTTTGGTCTAAATAACTTTTTCCTCAATGCCGAGTTTGCCTAAAAATAACGTCTCAAACAATACTTCAACTTTAAAGAAGCATGAAGTTGTGGTCACCGTATATACTAGATGTCAAGTAATTCCTGGAGCGCTTCAATCGGTAACCCGGTTGCCCCCATAGGGTATGGATAGTCCGTGTCCGAATTTGCCCGTAGCTTCCCGTCTCAGGAAAGAAATGTGTAGAAAAGTCAGTGTAGAAGATGGCAGTTTGAGAATGTCCTAAGCTAGATATCACAAGCAGTCAATCCAGAACTGCCATAAAAGATATAATCTTGCAAAAGAGAAGAAAAACTAACAAAAACGATCCTGGTATCAATATAATGCTAATTTTTCGTAGCTAGATATCCGTTTTATCTTTCTTCAAAAGTTTATAATCAGAGCACTTGTCTGTCTACCTTAATCCCAGTTACTATGAGATACTGACTACTGAGTGGTCTTAGAGTGGTCCGGCGTGTTTGTTACAATGAGATACTGACTACTGAGTGATTTTAGAGTGGTCCGGCGTGTTTGTTACAAAGAGATACTGACTACTGAGTGGTTTTAGAGTGGTCCGGCGTGTTTGTTACTATGAGATACTGACTACTGAGTGGTTTTAGAGTGGTCCGGCGTGTTTGTTACAATGAGATACTGACTACTGAGTGATTTTAGAGTGGTCCGGCGTGTTTGTTACAAAGAGATACTGACTACTGAGTGGTTTTAGAGTGGTCCGGCGTGTTTGTTACAATGAGATACTGACTACTGAGTGATTTTAGAGTGGTCCGGCGTGTTTGTTACAAAGAGATACTGACTACTGAGTGGTTTTAGAGTGGTCCGGCGTGTTTGTTACTATGAGATACTGACTACTGAGTGGTTTTAGAGTGGTCCGGCGTGTTTGTTACTATGAGATACTGACTACTGAGTGGTTTTAGAGTGGTCCGGCGTGTTTGTTACTATGAGATACTGACTACTGAGTGGTTTTAGAGTGGTCCGGCGTGTTTGTTACTATGAGATACTGACTACTGAGTGGTTTTAGAGTGGTCCGGCGTGTTTGTTACTATGAGATACTGACTACTGAGTGGTTTTAGAGTGGTCCGGCGTGTTTGTTACTATGAGATACTGACTACTGAGTGGTTTTAGAGTGGTCCGGCGTGTTTGTTACTATGAGATACTGACTACTGAGTGGTTTTAGAGTGGTCCGGCGTGTTTGTTACTATGAGATACTGACTACTGAGTGGTTTTAGAGTGGTCCGGCGTGTTTGTTACTATGAGATACTGACTACTGAGTGGTTTTAGAGTGGTCCGGCGTGTTTGTTACTATGAGATACTGACTACTGAGTGGTTTTAGAGTGGTCCGGCGTGTTTGTTACTATGAGATACTGACTACTGAGTGGTTTTAGAGTGGTCCGGCGTGTTTGTTACTATGAGATACTGACTACTGAGTGGTTTTAGAGTGGTCCGGCGTGTTTGTTACTATGAGATACTGACTACTGAGTGGTTTTAGAGTGGTCCGGCGTGTTTGTTACTATGAGATACTGACTACTGAGTGGTTTTAGAGTGGTCCGGCGTGTTTGTTACTATGAGATACTGACTACTGAGTGGTTTTAGAGTGGTCCGGCGTGTTTGTTACTATGAGATACTGACTACTGAGTGGTTTTAGAGTGGTCCGGCGTGTTTGTTACTATGAGATACTGACTACTGAGTGGTTTTAGAGTGGTCCGGCGTGTTTGTTACTATGAGATACTGACTACTGAGTGGTTTTAGAGTGGTCCGCCGTGTTTGTTTAGTGTGAAAGATGGGATTAGTCACCACGACGCTAAACGACGCTAAACGACGCTAAACGCTAAATCAACAATGATATAATATCGTAAAGTGAACAATTTCCAAATCGTTCTAGGGTAATGCTTGTTATAGATACACGGTATGATGCAATGATTCAAACAGAATAGTTTTGAGTGGTTCTTAATTTTACATCAAACTATTGAACCACTACAATATCACTCTGCTCATCACATCAGGATTTGTCGTAAATACTGAGAATTTTGATGCAATTACACTTACTCGACATAAAATTTTGATCGAATTATTGGTCAATTAATTTACTTATTAATCACTTAAATCTCAAACAGTGATTTTAATTTCGATCTTAAAATAGTTATCGTTATCTTATGACTGAATGTGGTAGGATTTGATACTTTCCATTGCTCGATGATAGCTAGATTAAAAGATCGGGCTGTGTGATTTGTCTCAGCAGAGAGATACTCTGCTTGCATCCTCTGGCTTGCTGAAAAAGAGGTCTACATTTGATTTATGCAGGAACGCGCGTTAATAAATTTGTACAGAATTACGCGCGAGCAATGGATTATATTGGGCCGGGCGCGCGCGCGATATAATAAATTATAAAGTGATTATGATCTGATTAATTATCTTGTGAAGTTAAGGAATTATAAACAGACACTGTGATTAGCTATTTGACTGGCAATGTGTAGGGATGAGACAAATTCTGGAGGATGAGAAGAATTATATTCACCAGGCTCTGCAGTATAATAAGAGGTCCCGAAAAATTACACTAGCGTAATCATTTAGAAACCCCCTCCTTCCCCATCAGTGAGTGACTCACGACTGATGACTGTACGCGTACGTGGTACGCCGTACGTAATATGTGAACGACCCCTTAGGCCTTAGTGAACCATACTGTTCATACACTGGAAATTACGTAATCAAATTTGTTCTACACTGGACGTTCATTCAGGGCTTTCGTTGGTCAATACTGAATCTTTGTCATGTTTCTAAACAGTATGGTTCCAGGTTCACATATTACGTAATCACTGAACCACCGAGGGAGAGGGAGGGGTTTCCAAATAATTATGCTAGTTTAATTTTAACATATGATAACTGAATATGTGAGCGACACCTAAAACTTCATTTGATTGAAATATGCTATGCCTAATGCCTATACTCCTCAATTCAACTTTAGATTTCCATAGCTTTTCATAAACAATAATCTGCAAAATATTACAGACGCAGTTAATTGGAGCATGGCGTCAGATCTAGATCGTGAAATTCACGGGAAATATGCCCTCAAATTCAACGACCAGGAAATATCCAACAATAATCTGCTTATGATATTTAACCCGAATAATAAGTTCGAGATGCTGATGACTTTTAAAGATGATGATGATCAGAAATGCAGAGCTCGCCTCAGCCTGGACGAAACAAATATGAAAAATGAAAGATTTCACCTATGAAAAAGATCGAAGACCGTGCGAAATAAATCCGCCTTATTGGATGCTGCAATTCAGCGCCTCCTTGACAGGCACAAGTATAGTCACGATCTTTTATGAGAATTTCTGGCAATTATTCTTCACACTTACCCATACTGAAATATGTGGCAGTGGATTAGGATTGAAGATTCTTGTTTCTATACAGTTCGATTATTATAGTGAATATCAGCATATCCGTTACACGGCTGGAGCACTCAAATACAATTATCAAGCAGAATTACCAGGTTACAAAAGCCGCATTTAATTTAATTTTACTTATCCGTTAACGCTACTTTTATTGTTTATGTATCAGCAAATAGGCAAATGACCAAGAAGTTGAAACTACAGAACTTAAAATTACAAACAAAATTATCCAGATTAGATGAACATGAACAACTTTTACCCAGAGTGTAGTGTGGATCAGAACCTAATCAGGGTAACAGTAAAATGTAAATACGCCTGTCAATCTTGTCTGCAAGGAAGTTTGTCAACAGGAGGAAACGTTTACATGTGTAACTGTAGGGATGGGATGATCAGAAGAACGAATGCCATTCACGAATGCAGTGGTATGTATAATTTCTGAATTTTTCATATTTCAAGATAATATGTTGATAGCTAACTTTAAATTTCTACCATAATGCAAAATTTCTGTAATTTGGTCTACAAGTAGATTTAATTTATAATGACAACAACAGAAACTGAAAACTAATGAATATCAGTTCAAGAACCTTTAATTTCTAAAACAAAAACAATAAAAACGATAGTACTTTAAAAAGATAAAACATGTGTGATTTCTCAAACTCTTGACTGTCTCCAACCTCACTTCACATCCTCTGTACTTAAACTATCTTAGTTGTATCGATGAGACTTGAAGTTTTTTCATATAATTAAAAGTTATACATACTTACGAATACAATGGATTGACATGATGCGCCTAGTCATGACCTACTCCTAGTGCGAAAGGCTATGTCTAAATAGCTCTTCTGCCCTGGCCTTATTCTCTTGTGAGAAAGATATCTCCTTTTACGATCACTATTTTCAGTACCTAGTGAAGTAGAAGGGGACGATGAGGGGACGATGAGGGGGACGAGAAGGAGACGATTAAGCATGCACATTGCACAGGGGACAACGTGACAGGTAAGAATTCAGATAAAGTGTTCCAAATTTTGTAAAACGGAGTTTTAAAAATTTAGAAGTACCCCGACCGACCCACCCGCCTCCGCCCCCCCCCCCTCCCAGCAGACCCACCAAAAATAGTAACCATATAACTAAGATATCTCCCACTTAAAGAAATGTGCGATTATAATGTATGACGAACGATCAAGGCTGCTAAATTTACCTGACCAAATATGGTGACGACTGGAAATTAATTTTTTGTTCCAGTCCACACACGTTAACACGATTAGAGCATGGTTACATGCAGTACACTAAACATACATTTAAAACTAAATGTAACTAAACTTAACCCTA